GCCCGCGGTGGTGTTTTTGGTTAATGCGGTGTCGAATATGTTGCCGCATGCGAGGTGGGGGAGGAAGTGGTATGTGGAGAAGTTTGGGGAGGGGAGGGTTAAGGGACGGGGGGCGGTGGTGCCCTTTTTTAGGTGGTTGTAATTGATTTTCTGTATATTATTACTGGGGCATAGGGGATAAATGAGGGGTATGAATGGGTGGTATTTGGGAAATCGTGGTGTTGATTGAAAGTGATGGGTTGTGTATAGTTAGTGCCGGGAGTATGTATGATAGGCTGTGGTTGTGTATAGCATCATCATATTTCTCAGCTGGGTAATATTCAAAGGGAACAACAATCTCCCCAAGAGGTCATAGGATAAGCTCGGGCTGAAAGAGCTACATCCAACTACAAACGCTACTTTCTATAACTTAAACAGATATGGATGAATGAAGAAGTATCAAGAAGCTCGAATGTAATCATTCGAGAATTGTCATTAAGGGCAGTACAGTAGCGACCCTTTTTTTTGTGATATACACAATCATTGTTGAAATATTATTGATCTCGGCGTTGCAGACGTCACCGACGTTCCCGCATTCCGCCCCCATAACTCGCAAAATGCAAGAGAAAACTTGGCGTCGATGTTATATGCGAACGCCGATGTTGAAATCGTTATCATATGTTGAAAACTCCGGTGACCCCATCTAATGAAACCCTAACCCATATGTTGAACTTTTGGTATCATCATCGTAAACTCATCAAAAAAACTTGGGAAGGGAACTGCTAGAGTCCGCTTCCCCGAGACGACAGGTTGAGAATGTCGCCCCCAATCATGGGTTATTAAAAAATGTAATGATTAAAGAAAATTTAGTTTCCGTGCTTCTGACGGAAGAACTTGGCAGCGTTGACCATGTTGGTCAGGGCAGCCTTGGTCTCGGGCCACTGACGGGTCTTCAGACCACAGTCGGGGTTGATCCAAAGCTGCTCAGGGCGGAGGTACTGAAGCATCTCCTCGACGCGGTCCTTGATCTCCTGCTCGCTGGGAACACGGGGAGAGTGGATGTCGTAGACACCAGGTCCAATGTGACGGGGGTAGGCCTCGTCGATGAAGACCTTGAGCAGCTTGGCATCCGACTTGCTGTTCTCAATGCTCAGAACATCGGCATCCAGCGCAGCGATGGCGTGGAAGAAGTCCTGGAACTCAGAGTAACAGAAGTGAGAGTGGATCTGAGTACCGTCGGTGACACCAGAGGTGGCCAGGCGGAAGGCACGGACGGCCCACTTGAGGTACTCCTCACGCTCCTTGCCAGCACGGAGGGGGAGACCCTCACGAAGAGCGGGCTCGTCGACCTGGATGACCTTGATTCCAGCAGCCTCGAGATCAACAACTTCGTCACGCAGAGCGAGAGCGAGCTGCTGAGCCTGGACGGACTGGTGGACATCGTCACGAGGGAAAGACCAGCGCAAGCAGGTGATGGGGCCGGTAAGCATACCCTTCATGGGCTTCTTGGAGATCGAGACAGCGTACTTGGACTCCTTGACGGTCATAGGAGCGGGACGAGAGATGTCACCGACAATGATCGGGGGACGCACGCAACGGGAGCCGTAAGACTGGACCCAGGCGTGGGTGGTGAAGACGTAACCAGTGAGGCGCTCACCGAAGTACTGGACCATGTCGTTACGCTCGGGCTCACCGTGGACGAGAACATCCAGGTCGAGCTCCTCCTGGATCTTGACGACCTCCTCAATCTCCTTCTCGATGAACTTCTCGTACTCCTGAGCGGTGATCTCACCCTTGGTGAACTTGTTACGCTGGATACGGATCTCCTTGGTCTGGGGGAAGGATCCGATGGTGGTGGTGGGGAAGAGAGGAAGGTTGATGGACTTGCTCTGCTCGGCAATACGGGCGGAGAAAGGAGAGTTGCGGTTGTGCTGCTCCTCAGTGACGGCAGCCTGGCGCTCCTTGACCTTGGGGTCGTTGGTGCGCTTGGAGGAAGCACGAGCCTGGACAGACTTGGCGTTGACCTCGAGCTGCTCACGGACAGTAGCGGGTCCCTCAGTGACGGCCTTGGCGATCACAACAACTTCGTCAAGCTTCTGCACAGCAAAGCTGAACCAGTCGCGGACCTCAGGGTCCAGAGTCTTCTCGCTCTCGAGAGTGTGGGGAACGTGGAGGAGGGAGCTGGAGGTGGCAACAACGACACGCTCCTTGCCGAGCTTCTGGATGGCCAGCTCGACCTTCTCGATGGCAGCCTTGAGGTTGGTCTTCCAGATGTTACGACCGTCAACAACACCAGCAGACAGAATCTGCTGAGGGCCAAGGGCAGCAACAACAGCGTCGAGCTGCTCAGGGTTGCGGACGAGGTCAATGTGGATACCGTGGAGGCTCTGGAGGGCGGGGAAGACATCAAGGTTGTGGACAATGTCACCGAAGTAGGTGGCAAGGACCAGACGGGGAGCCTGGGCACCAAGGGCACCGAGCTTCTCGTAGGCAGGCTTGAAAGCAGCCTTGGACTTGGCGGGGAGGTCGAAGACGAGAACGGGCTCATCGATCTGAACCTCCTCAGCACCAGCCTCCTTGAGCTTCTGGAGCAGCTCAACGTAGACGGGGAGGAGCTCCTCAATCTTGGTGATGGGGTCCACGGACTGACCACGGTCAGCCTTGGCGAGGGTCAGGAAGGAGACAGGTCCCAGGATGACGGGGCGAGTGACAACGCCAGCCTCCTTGGCCTCGAGGAACTGAACGACAGGCTTGGGCTGCTCAGCCAGCTTGAAGGTCTGGTTGTCCTGGAGGGTGGGCTTGACGTAGTGGTAGTTGGAGTCAAACCACTTCACCATCTCCAAACTGGGGACATCAATGGCGGCCTGACCATCCTTGGCGGGCTTCTGAAGACCACGACCCATGGCGAAGTACTCGTCAAGGGGGTGGAGGTTGTACTTGCTGTAGCGCTCGGGGATGACCTATTGAAGAATAACGTTAGCGGATGAATCAAATACATCAAGAGCAAGGACACATACACCGAAGAGCTGGATGTGGTCGAGGACCTGGTCGTAGAAGGCAAAGTCGTTGCTGGGGATAACATCAACGCCAGCATCCTTCTGGAGCTTCCAGTGCTCCAGACGGAGTCTCTTTCCCTCAGCCAAGAGCTCATCGCGAGAGATCTTGTCACCCCAGTAAGCCTCGGTGGCCTTCTTGAGGTCACGGAGCTTTCCCATACGAGGGAAACCCAAGACGGAGCTGCAGGAGATACCATTAGCATTGACCTTTTTTTTGCCAACAGACAGATAGACAGATGGTGAAAACTTACGATTGAACCATCTTGAAAGATATGTGTGTAGAAGTGAGGGAGAAAAAGAGTAGAGTTTAGTGGAGGGAAAATAGATGAAGAATTGGATAAAAAAGAAGACAGAGAAGACAGTCAAGGACTATACAATAGTCTCTTGCTGAGAAAAAGGATGAAGAGAGAAACAGGGGGAGGGATAGAGAGAGAAAGAAGAGAAGAAAGAGAGGGAAGAAGAGGATGGAGGGGAGTTGTTATAAGCAGACGGAGGAGGGGAGGGAGTGGGGCGAGGGGTTTGGGTTGATACCAAAAATACCACGGATACCAGACCAGTACCTGGAAACCTAACCGTGTTCCAGACTCCAGATCAGGCATACTTACATGTGCCTGTTTGGTAAGGTAAGATAGTCCCGCCTCTCAAGTGTATGTATACTGTAAGGAATGGAGAGGAGAGTTTTCGCCATTCTGTGACAATCTGCACTCATTCTGTGCGTGTCGCTCTCCTCTCCAATGCCTCCCCTCCCTCCTTCTCCAGCTATCTACACATGAGCCCCTTTCCCAGTTACCACTTAAGTTCCTGACCCCTCCGGACCCAAGCAAGACCAACGTCCTCCGGTTTTTGAGGTATGTGTCATCCTTGAAAAATTTAGTAACCCGTCCATTGGGAGGGGCCAGAACTAAACCCATCCCGAACATAGTGCTAAATGGCGTGATTAAATTCTGGATAAACGGGCCAGTCAGCGCCGTGGAAAAGTCCGGAGTATCCCTCGGACCACCTCTGCCTGCCTTCCGGGATCGGCCCCCATTAAGGTTCTGGCTGGTGGGTTGCCAGGCTGATACGAGCTGGTTAGCCACGCCCATTACCTACGCAGTTCCAAGTCTTCTACTGCTGCCCATACAGTCGAGACTGGCTTCTGCCCACGATGGAGCCGATTCGGACCTGCAAAATGGATCTGCGCTGAGACCCATTGGCCGCATCGGCTGACTTCCAGCGTTGCTGCACGAGGTGGCCACTAGGCCTATCAGCGTGGGCAATTACCCAAATCTGAGGTGAGATCCACCCATTCGCCGCTAGAGCTTGCCATAGTCCATGGGTCAAGATACGCAGTACGCAGCTAGAAGCTGACCTTACCGTCTACTAACTAGTTAGTCGATGGCTGTCGATAAATTGATTCATCTTTGATGGAAAGAGCCAGAATCACCCTTCCTCGCCCGAAACTCGGGATCCGTCTCACTTCACCGAGTACTACGATAGTATTCTACTAGTGACTCACTTGAAAGACAGCTCGGACTTTGTGTCGAGTCACAATGCTTGGGAGCGTGTTACCAGTTCTTGTTCTGAAGTACTAACTCGGCTTTTGAACATGATGTTCGGAAAACCTTTCGGGATGCGGAGTATCTTGCGTGCAGGTCCGGGGAAGCTCATCTCATCTGGCCGACGAACGGTTACCGCAGAGCATGCTATAGATACAGTTCCAATGCCCCCGTAGATCCGATGGCAACCACGATGCTCGCCCAGAGATCAATGTTTTGGTTGAAAACCGTAAAGCTTTATTGATGACGCAGCTGCTCCTTTCAGTGCAGTCGCAGCTTCCATTCCTGTATGTTGCATAAGCTCGAAGAAGGCGGTTGCACAAACATGCTCCGTCTGGACGGACTGCCCACCATAATGAACGCAACAAATCTGTCCACTTATTTACTAGGGCATTATCACTCACCTTGAGGCAATACTCCTGCCTCGATGGCGTTCTTCCTCATCTGTCCCCGTTTCAGAAAATACTGGAAAGGCTCAGACTCGGACACAAGACACTCTTACAAATTAGATCCGGCTAAACCGTCACCAGATGGCAATCTAGATGGTAGGCCGCTCGAGTCCGCTCGATTGACAGCGGTTTTGCTGACCCTGCTAGGGCATTCCAAAGACAGAGAAGATGTCGCACGCCCTGGTCATCCCAGACGCTCCTCCGGTGGCTTGCCCGATAGACTTCGTAGACGTTTTTCCCGACAAGCCAGAGACCAGCGTGTAAAGCCAAAGAATGATCGCAGAAAGTCTGGCTCCCCTGCCTTTCCATTCTCTTCTAGATTTGCCAGTCCTAGGGAAAGAGTAGCCACTCCAGATGAAATTGGGAGCAGCTTCATGAGTGAAAGAGGATATGACAGCGACGCGCAGTTTATAAGCACTCCCAAGCAGGTTAGCCACACCAGAGACCATCCTTCTAATCCACGCATCCTTGAGGATGCTGCTGTCTCTCCTTTGAGGCGCGAGATGGCCCAGGGAATGCCATATGTGCAAGCCCATGGTCAAGACCTCGAAGACCTGGAGAGTGCACCATGTGCGGACCCTACTCTAAGGGAAGAATCGCAATCTGCTCTCCGTTCGAAAAGCCAGGCGTCTTGCATGACCCAATCTTCCCAGGTCTCCTCCGTCTTCCGTGGCACAGATGATGGGAGCCGTCGAGTCAGGGTTGCAAGGCCTCAAAGAGGCATGGCGGGCAGTCCAGTTCAAGGCAAGATAAGAAATGGACTTGCGTATCCAAAACAACCAGGATACCGGCCTCCCCTTCGAGCGGCTTCGCCTGATCCTGGTATACATGGCTCGGGTTATTCGAGTCCAGTATCTCCTGTGCCATTCTCGTATACCACTTCTGCCGACTCTTTGGTTGGGCCATCGCAGATCTCGGTCAGGAAACGACGCCGGCAACCCGCCGTGGGCCCTATACCAGACAAATGCTCTGTTCATCTTGGTAACTCAAATCTCCCGACGACCTTGGCGGCCCGCTCAACGTCTCCTCATATGCTCTCTCCGAAACAATCATTCGATGAAAACCGGTGGACCAACAATACCGGGACGTGGAACGCACCCCAGCCCTTTCACGACTTCTCTGGGTTTGGAGCAGGAAAAGCACCAGATACTTACGCAACAGGGCCAAGACCTAGAGGTCCGGTGAACCAGGCGTCCTCGTGCTATTCTCAGAAGACCAGCCCGTCACCTACAGGTGATCCGGTCGGCTCTATAGATAGACGGATCCAGGATCAGGCTATCACTATACAACCTCAAGAACCCAATGCTTCTTTTAGTTATTCCCCTCGATCATTGAAGTCGTCCCTGGTGAATGCTCATTATGCTCCCATTGCAGACCATGATGCGGATAAAGCTGAAGCACAGAAAAGCAGGTTTGCCGAGGGATTCGAGTCAGCCCGGTCAATCAGCTCTCCTGCACATGGCCATAATGACGCGGATGCGGACCTTGCATCGCCTCGCAAGGTGAGCGTTGGATGGATGTCGGGAGGCCGGCGACTTGGATACGGATACGCTCTGGTTCCTGCAAATGACGGAGCCGATGAACCTCCAAAAAGTCTCAATCACATTGGTTCCAGTGTTCCAGAAGCGACAGCTGTAGGTGTGAATCTTCGAAGTGGATTATCAAGGTCCTTTGAGAAGGAGACTATAGGACACAACAAGAAAACGTCCCCTAGAGCCGGTAATCCCAGCTTCGAGCTATCGAGCGTTGTGAGTCGCATACGTCTTCGCAGCTTCTCTAGCGCGTTTAACGAAGGCTTGGGTGAACAGCTCAAATCCTCAGTGCTAGAGAAATTCTCCAAGCGAAAGAAGGAGCAGGTCGATCCGGTTGCAGACAATATTGCTAAGAATCCCTGGGACTTTTGCTCTTGGGTAGACCCAAACCAGCCTTCGAGCGATCAACAGAGTGGACATAAAAGCTCGTCAGTCTCGACCAAAAGTACCGAGGGGCAGCCTTTGGGTAGATGGGCGACGTTGCGTCGTACAGGGAGTTTGTTGACCAAGGGCCGCAGCGTGTCGGCGATTACGCGCGGACTTGAATCCAATTTGACTGCGAGGATGACCAGTCCAGCCGGGCGATACCCTGTGGCACGAAGAAAGGAGGGCCGCGTCCTCAAGTTCAAGGTCCTCGACCGTAAAAATAGGGCTAATAGTGCCGATGATGACGTGCCTATTTTCTCCGCCGAAAACTTGCATGGAACAGCCGGCTCAGATGGTTTTCAGAACCAGGGGCAGGAACACGACCAACAGACTGTTCAGACAGGCACTCACAGGACGAAAAGGGAGCGGCATAATTCTTCAGACAAGACCGGTTCGGAGTCGATCACAGATGATTAGAAAAGCACCTACCAGGACTGCCAAGAAATGCTTGGGTAGGCCTGTGCTTTGGTCGTTTATATATCTTTGTTGCCGTCGGAGTACACTCAGCATTGGCAATCTCCTACAACAACGCCATTAATGTAACATGACCTGATGCATCAGGCTGCTTCTTCACTTCTGGGAATCCAACTTTTACTACTGAACAGTCAACATGCCGACGATTATATCGGTAACCGACTATCGTCCCCGGGATTAAGGACCACTGTACCAACCAAAGGATGGGAAAACATTAATGTTGAATGTATTACATCGGTAAAGTAAATGCATTAAAGCCAGTGATTATCAAGGCCAAAGCTTCATGTAGTCGTACATAGGTATATCTAAACACCAAGAACGCCGCCCATTCTCCAACGCCCATAACATCAATCCTCTTTTACTTCCTTTGCCGCTTCGTACTCTTATCACTAGCATTGCTCAGAACACTAGCAGAGCGTTTATGCGAAGTCACATCTCCCTCTTCACCCGCAGCACCACCTTCTGCCTTCTCTCCCGATTTATCTGTTGCACCCTTCTCCTGCCCCTCCGCATCCCCAGCACCCGCAGCCTCCTCCTCCTCCTCCTCCGCCGCAGGAAGTGGCTGATCCTCCTGCTGCTCCGATTTGACCTCAGGCTTACTATCCTTCTCCAGCGCCTCCTTCGCCTTCTTCTCACGTTCCTCCTTCGCAGCCTCCAAAACCCGAATCTCACTCTCCACCTTCTCCGACACCTTCCGCGCCTCCAGCAGCAGATTCACCGAATGAATCAGCTTCTCAAAATCCTTGCAGACACGCTCCGTCGGCATGACAAGCCGCAGCGGCACCTCCAGTTCCGCCAGCGCGGCAGCGAGTTTCTGCGTCTGCACGTTCGATTTCGCCTGCGTGAGCTTCTGTGCGCGGTCACTGCGGAATTGCACGCCCGGCGCCAGTCGGTCGTGGTGCTGCACGCCGTATTTGGCTTCTTCGGCGGGTGTGAGGGTCCGGACGGCTTGTTGTTGCGCTTCTTTGTTCGCTGCTGCGGCTGCGGCTGCGGCTGCGGCGGCGGCCTTTTTGTTGGTTGGGGCGGCGGCGGGCGTCGCGTTGGGGGTGTCGGCGCGGCTGTCGCGGGCGCTGCTGGGGGCGTTGGGGGCCGGGGTTGCGCCGGCGGGGCTGGGAGCGGCGCCGCCTTCGGGGCCCAGGATGGAGCGGCGTTTCTTGCTCTTGTCGGCTTGGAGGAGGGTTTGGAGGAGTTGCGAGAGGCCTTGGCTGGATTGGTACATGGTTGTGTTGCCGACGCTGATAGGGACTTCAAGGCGGGAGTAGAGTTCGCGACGTTCCGTGATGAAATCTTGCTCGTTGGCGGTGATGCGTTTGAGTTCTTCGAGGAGGACGCTTTCTTCGCGGACTTCGTCGGCTGTGCGGTTGAGTTGGAGGGCGGCGAGTTCTTTGCGGGAGCGTTCACGGTCGGCGTCGAATTTGAGCATCTTTTCGTGCAGTTCAAATTCGGCTTCCGACATCTCGGAGGGTGGGTGCTCGAGTGCGAGCATCGCGGCGATGAAGTAGTAGCGCGATTTCATCTGCTCCATGGTTCGGTATTGCTTTGCGGGGACGAGGGCGCTGGCGTTGTTGCTGTCGCCATCGACGGAGTGCGGTTGATAGTCGTAGCGATCGGCGATTACGACCCAGCGGAGGTCGTATTCTTCGACTAGGTCCATGAGGTAGTCGGTTTCCTGGCGCGTCCAGTCGTCGTTCTTGAGATGGCGATTGTATTCCTCGTCTGTGTAGCGGTTGGGTACGCGGGCTTTGATGTTGTATTTGGCGAATAGGGAGTCTTGCTGCGGCACGTTATCGGAGGTTGAGGCATCGGCGTTGTCCTCTTTCTCGTCCACGTCCATCTCGGAGCCCTCCAGCGCGGGGACCTTGGCGGATTCATGCTGGCGTTGCCAGTGGCGGAGAACGAGGCCATCGGAGCGGGCGCTGTTTATGAAGGGGGTCATGCGCCTGATGGAGTCAGTATTTGGAATCGGAGAGCAGTTGATATGGTGATGTGTGCGTACCATGGCTGTACGCGCTTTTTGCTCGTCCATTTCGGACGTCCCTTGTATCGGTTCTCGTTGATGGCGATCGGAGGCGCTCGTTCGCCTAGCAGAGCATAGAGCTCACGGGTGATACCCTCTAGCGATGGGAATGTGTCAGATTAATTTTAGGTGAGTAAGGGAACTGAGAGAAGCCCACCTGGACGCTTCTCGACGACCTTCTGTTTCTTATGAGGTCGGGGCTGGCCCTCCGCGGGCAGATCCAGCATGTCGCGAACATCGGCGGCGGCCATGGCGGAGGCACCTGAGGGGGTTTACGGGCTGAGCGATTTCCAAGTGTAATGAGACGAAATGTATTTGGTATTTCGATGAAATCAACAGCAATATAGCAATGCAGCAATGAGAATGATTGAGGAGCAAGAGAGGAAGAGGGGAGGAGATGGAAGGGAAAGATGAAAGGCGGAGAAGCAAAAGCCATGAGAATTCGCGCCAAGACGGGATCCGGCCAGATCGAGGCAATCGCTTCATCGCCAACTGTTCTCATCATCTCCCTCCCTCTGCTGTCTCTTCCCCCCTCCGCCAATTTCTCCCATTCAATCGCATCATGGCTCCGGTCAGATCCTCCGCCTCATGGCTGTCCTCTGTGATGGCCGTGTGTGCCATCCTGTGTCTCTCGGTGCCCGCCAACGCCCTCTACTTCTACATGGACGGCCGCCAAACAAAGTGCTTCTTTGAGGAGCTCCCTAAAGATACCCTGGTTGTCGGTATGTTTCTCACCACCTGCTCCCCCAATTTATTTACCACTTAATTCTAATACGATGTGGGAATAATAAAGGTACCTACTCCACCGCCGTGATCAACCAGCAATCCAACACCTACAATGTGGACCCTAACCTTAAGATGCTCGTCACCGTCGACGAGATCTTCGACAACGACCACCGCGTTGTCTCCAAGCGTGACAGCCACTCCGGACGCTTTACCTTCTCCGCTGCCGACGCCGGCCTGCACAAGATCTGCGTGACCCCCGAGACCAACGCCGCAACTGGCGGTGGCTGGCTGTCGGGCGCCCCGTCCGGTGCGGTCCAGGTCACTCTGGACATGGCTATCGGTGAAACGAGCAAGATTGAGACGGAAGACAAGGACAAGATGCAGGATATTGTGCAGAAGGTGAAGGATCTGAACGGCCGGTTGCAGGATATTCGTAGGGAGCAGGTGTTCCAGCGGGTATGTTTTCCACCACGGGGATGCCATAGGCAGGATCTTTAGTGACTTGACTAACAATCTGTTTAAACAGGAACGTGAAGCTGAATTCCGTGACCAGTCCGAGGCCACCAACTCCCGCGTGGTTCGGTGGACTCTCATCCAGCTGGCTGTGCTGTCGGTGGCATGTGCTTGGCAGCTTTCGCATCTGCGGTCGTTCTTCATCAAGCAGAAGTTGACATAAACGGGGAGACTTCACTTTTCTTTTCTTTTCTTTTTTGTTCGAGATGGGAGGGAGTACACGTTGGAGAAAATAGGCCAAATGGAATGAGTGAGAGGTACCTGGTTGTACTTACAAATAAACTACTACCTAGCTAGCTATGATCGGTTGTTTAGCGATTATTATTTCTCTATTGTGTGAGTTACATGAGTGTATGTAAAATGCATGTATGTGGTTCTACGATGAGGGTTTAGTGTACTCACTTGTGGTATATACTACTGAGGCAGTACGATTTCTGCTGCTACTGCTCCGAGGAAACCTTGTGATTTCTCTTTCACCTCCCCTGTCTCTACCGTTCTGCCGACATATATTTTCTGGATGCACAATATAGAGACAACCGGTAATGTAGTGCCAGGTATTTCTGCATTCGGATTTCTCACTATAGGGAATCCACGGCTGTCAAGGAGTTTCCAAGCATCACAATAGCCACAAAGGATGCGACAGTAGCTGGAAAGACTCTTGATACAACCACATCAGCTAGATGGACTAACAAGATCTACTGAATCAACATGGTACATATGTTGGTAGCGACTCTTCTAGCTCCTCGCTGGTATTAACCAAGCTCTGAGGGCTTACTATTCCATCAGTTATAGTTTCCCCCACCAGCAAAGCCATAACTGCCATACCCATAGTACCTCATGTATGCCTGATCTCTCCCCCAACTGTCACAAGCCACGCGAAAGCAACAACCGGCTCTCCTCGGTCATTGTCGAAGGCATGTTTCCAGATTTACAGTTGATATTCTTGGGAATATCGCTACTAATGACTGCTGTTGATGAACCTAACAAGCAATATACCTGGCAACCTGGATTTTTCTTCACATTTCTCCTTGTTTCAAATGATTTTATGGCTGCCCCCAAAGCCTGGGAGCAAAAGAAGACACACAGCACCAAAAACATAGAGTTTGTGACTATGCTCAATCTCCCACAGCAGTTCAAAACGATCAACCAACTCTGCCTCTTTCATGTCGCTATCCGATTTATTTCTTCCCCCGAACAGCTCCTGTTGGTTTAATCCTGGTCCCAACCACTAGGAAGCTGTTCAAGGTCCTCCTCTGGTATCTGCTCGGCAGTAGCTCATAGCCTATGCTCTCTGAGGCATAGTGACTGGGCAGTGTAGTATCCCAGCCCAACATTATGCTAGCCCCCTGAGGGCAGTCCTACATCGAACTACTAGAGCCATCGCAACACTGTTCTCCAGAGCACGAAATATGATTCGCGGCACTTATGCCGATAGCTATATTGACCTACGAACAAAGACGCTGGCAGCAAAGCCCGATTGTCGTGGAGTTTTCTAGGGCTACTCGGCTACTATCAATGGATCTTTAGTGTCCATACTATCCTCGGCTATGTCAATCCAAAGGATGATTTGTCTTCTATCTCGCTAGCTAGCTCGGGCCTACTAAGTCTGTGCTTATGACGAGTACTCCAGCCTTGTGCTTCACCAAAAACAATAGATGTTGAGAAACTTGGCTCGTTGGTTGCTGAT